AGTTTTTATAAATATCCCTTTGTTTATGAATACATTTCCTGCTGATTATAAAAACTTTTCTTCTTCTAGATGCGTAAAGCAGAAAGATAAAAGTTAATCTAATTTTGCACTATAACGTTGCCCTTAATATTATGAAACATATATGTATTTTATTTAATCAGGTACCAAAGACTATGCTGATTAACTTAAAGTAAAATTCTGAGCTTTGAGGTAAAATTTAATTGTTATTTCCACGAATGTATTTTCATATTTTTGTTACAAATAGTTTTCAGAAATCATTAAATACCTTAACAATTTAATATTTGGTAATCATTCCTTATCTGAAACTTGCTTGAACTTTGGTCCATTAAAATATAATTATGGAATTTTTTAAACACGTATTTTTTAAAGGCTAAGGTTCAGAATGACTGATTGTGTTGTTTAATGTAAATATTTTGATAGTTGATAACCTTCTTCAGCTGTATTCATTACATTGAAAGCACCTGTAACTAGTGTTTAAACAAAATGTACGAATTTACTTTGTTAATAAATAGTCCATCATTGATATACATATATCAATTGATTGATATGAAAGAATTTCTATTTCTCTATGAATACTTTTTTTATAACACTTTGCAGCAATAGTAAAAATCGCCATTGCCGTAATTTTCATCATCTTTTGTGTCAGCTCTAGATAACACAATAGAAAGACATGTCTAATGAACCCAAAGCATGGCTCATTATGTCATTATAATAATCTTATTATGTTCTAAAAGCCACTAATTAAATTCTTATCTTCCAAGTAGCAAACCAAATCGAAAGACACACAGTATTTTTTTTTCTTAATAGATTTATTGTATATCTAATAACCTAAAAGAAAAAAAGGTTACATCAATTTTATTAACAAATTCATCTATAAAACTCTCTTTACCTCCATATAAAAACTAGTTTGAACGCGTTTTATTATTTATGGCCAAAAATTTTTATCTAGAATTTAAAAAATAACTCAAATGAAAATCTAAAAGTGGAATGTCAGTATTTGTTTTATTTTATAAAAGCATATGCGGGCAACTGTTTGTTAGGAAAGTTTATTGTATAAATGTCTATAGGAGTCCATGACCGAAAGTTATGCAGAATTTAATTTCTCATTGTTAAGGCACATAATAGTTCTCCTTTAGTCGAGATTTATTAATTTATTATATGGAATATAAATTCAATATTTTCTTGTTTCTAAGGAACAAAAAATTACTATATTTAAAGAATTACTTTTTAATTAGTTAGTTGAATATACATACATAATCAAAATTTGTGAAAAACACAAGAATGCATGTCAGATATTTTCTCATACCATAAAATTTGGTAAAGGAAATTTTCTTCAGTATTATGCTAGTTGCGTAATTTTGTTAGAAAACTTGAATTTCCTTGTTATTCAGAGAAGATAAAAAAAATGTAAATGAAAATGTTTTTGTTTTTCATAGAAATTGTAACAGATACATATATACTCGTATTGTATAAATAAGAAGAATTTTTGGTGAAAACTAAATTGTAATAAATTGAAGTAGTTGTGGATGTTTTATAATATGACGATATTGTACTTAAAATAATTCCTGGCATACATAATGCACATATTTAATAGTCGTCGCAGATAAATAAAATTATGGACTTTGCCCTTACCTACTAAGTACCCTACTTCCTTATGCAATTGATTCGTATATATTCTACGTAATAAAGCGTAATACGTTTATGTCATTGGATATTGGTATTCAATTAATATATTTAATTTTATAATTAACTCTTTTACGAAACACAGTTATTATTTTTTTCAAATAATTTTGCTCCTTACATTATATTATAACTAATGTTTTGCTACAAAAATACATATAATACTATTTTATTAGTGATGGCACTAGTTAATTTTATTGATGTTATTATTTTAATCGATATTATGTAAAACAACATTTTTAGTAGATTATTTAAGTTTTATTCTATTGTTTCCAATGGTTTTAAATGTGATTAAAATCTTAATTTTCTAAATAACTGCCTAAAATCCTGTCTTTATCTTCGTGGGTCATTTAAAATAAGAACTTTTCTTGGAAAATGTCTTAATTAAAGGGAACCCAAAAATACCTACAAATTTTTGACTTGAATGGTTTGTTATTCATTATGGTAAATAGTTGACGTTTATTTACAATACATGAGTTGTTTACAATCAGATATATAGTGTGTTTAACTAAACGATTCACGTAGTGTTAATCATGGCCAGAACAATAATATCGTTATTTATTATGCAGAAATAGACAGAATAATTTAATTATACTTATATCTAATTAAAGACGCATCTAGTTATATGTAATAAATATAAATCAGATTATTAACATCGTTTAAGGTAAACCCATTGGCTATGTGAATGCTTTTCCTTCTTAAATGGCCTCTGTTATTTTAAAGGAAATTATTTGATTCAAATAGCAGTACGGCATTATATTGAAACTCCCCGAGCCGTATAACATAAACTGGAAAACAAGAAACAGTTACATATGCTGTATGCATACTTCAAAAGCAATAAGTATGGCTGACTGAAGTCACTTACTCGAAAAGAACAATGTATGTGATGTAAAAAAGCGTTAAAATAAATTAAACAGGGTCAATTGAAACCTTACAATTCCATTCACATGGATGGCACTCTGAGATATTACCTTGCAAAAATGCAACATTATACACAATTTTGTTTTATCATGTTAAATTAAGATAACTATTTGAGAGAGGTCAAAGGTTATCGGACCTTTTATGCATATATTGCTTCTAAATTTCATTGTCTATCGTAGGTTTTGATCTATAAATAATAGTGATAACACCAACTTTGTTAGGTCTGTTTCATGTGTTATCTGAGAAATAGTTTACCTAAGCCATTTCGATAAACACTTATACTTAACTATTTATTGATTGGATGAACAATTTAATGTTTTTTATATAGGAAAAGATGTGCAATAATCTTCGTGATTTGCAACGTTTTCGCAATAATATAGTTTTTGCGTTTTAAATATTGTAATGATGTAACATTTTAATTGATAATGCCATTTAGTTTTATCGGTATTTCGATTGTTCATGTTAAAATGTTTGTTGAAATTACTATATAATTGTATAATTTTGTTGTTTAATTATGCATATGTATTTGTAAGCCGACAAAATTACAGTGTGGTAGTTGATTGTATTGCAGATTTCTGATAACAATTTTTGGATGCCGCTAAATAAATCCTTCACTCTATTTGACATGCTACAGTTAAAACACGGCATTACGATTTACCTCACTTTGAGCAAGAGTCGAACCTAAGAAAATAAATCGTTTTAAGTTAAGCCGTTTTAATTGAAGCTTAACTTTATTTTTACTTTAATTGTCAATGAATCAATCACGAAGTAAATATTTATATCTGTTTGAAAACAACGCGTACTGTTATCATCGATCGTATGAGTGTGTCGTAATTTGTTAAACAAAACATGTAATGCGAGCTGCCTATTAAAACATACGTCATTCAAAACAAAAACAGTCCTTATTTGTTTTGTTTTAAAGTTTAAACATATTTCGTTACCGATTACATATTTATCTTATACGAATCTCCATTCAATAATGGATAACGATGTACGACAAAGGTTAATTGTATAGTTAAACTTATCGTTATAAAATGTATAATTTTTCCAGACCCTCAAATTTTCCGTTAGATAAAGTATTTATTGTTATTTTATAATGAATAATGTAATACTATACTATGCGGAATTTAACCTTTATGATTAGTTACATTTCTAAGAACTTAATAACAAACATCAACACACATTACTTCTAACTTTCTCATATAATCTCAATGGATACGGCTTAGAGTTTGATTATTTTAGGGAACATTATCACACTTATGCATAATGATATGTCATATTAACAGCTCTAACATAATAGATGGCAAGTGCAATATGTCATTATTAATTCTGACTGAAAGCTTTAGTTTATGAGTTGATGTTTGTGACATTTCATTTGGTATTATGTTGATAAATGGACTATGAATCAAAATGAACTGAAATTAATTCAGCATAATATGACAAATGGTAAATATCATGTGCCTTTTACATCGGGTTTGTTAAGAATCTTAAAGAAAGTATCTAAGATAAGAAAGCACATCTATAAAACAGTCACCTAAAAACAGATATAGCGTTATACATACTTTTATAATATAAACTTATTTACTTAATATATTATATACATTTCAGTTTCAACATTTTACTTATATTATATCAATAAAAGTTATCCATAATTTATACTCTATTAACATATTACGATAATCGTTATTATAAATAGAATAAATAATTCCACTTCTAGAACCATCTACGGTACTAGTTGTTGTAGATAAATAAGATAACAGATATGTAAATATAACTTTTTATTTATTTTAATTATAAAATCAAATTTGTTTTCTTAGAACTAATAAAAACGTATTCCCATTTATTGCTTTATATTATTTTAGATTTTTAGAACTCTATATTAAGCATGAAAATGAGAGTAGTTTAAAATAAACGCCAGTAAGTCTGTTACACAATATCTATGTAATTTAGCCAGACATTTCATTGAGGCAAATATATATTTTAAAGATTGTTTAAACTAAAATATCGGAAATACTTCTGTAGTTATAGGTAAAAGTTTGGGGCATAGGTTAAAGAATATTCTATTGTTCATAATATTGTTCAAAGTATACACTGATATTATATTTCCTTATGATAATTAATTAGTGCCACGCGTCTGCAGAGTGCAAAGTTTGCACCTACATCATGATAAAATACGTCACAGCTCGTGTATCACAACTATATAAGCTAGATGTAATCGTTACCACATTACATTTGCTAGCACAACACCGTACAAAGTGCTTTGTACTGTACTTATATTAAAGTTTAAGTATAAACCTACCCAGTGATATTCTCTGACTTAAGCAGCTATCAGCTGTTTTAGTATTCCATAATACGTAACAATAAAGGATCTTTTTATAATGGATAAAAGACAACTCATCGGTAGCGCGACCCGGTACATCGCTGGCAGACACGCCGTCCAGACAGTGTACTGGAGGCGGACAGCAGAAGATGGCAAGGGGCTCTTGAAGACAACTAAGATGACGTTCTTCGGAAAAAACGAAGGCCCCAACAAAATTGACAGCGCTGAAATGTTTGCGAAAGTTCGGGAGAGATATGCGTGATTGAAAAATGTTACATATCTGTTGGCTGTGATAGTTCTATTTATTAATTTAAGATAATGTTTAAGTTTTCTGTTTTGTTCCTTTTTAATCGTGTTAGTTATTTTATATTCTTAATATAACTTGACGTTTAAACTTCAATGGAAGTTTACGTTAGTGAAGTAAGTTTAATAAATAGTGTTGACTATATAAAATTAATTATATTATTTAGCATCACTCCTTAGTAATTAACGGGTATTCCTTTTTAAGTTCACCAAAAAACGGTTTCGGATTTCTTTATTTTTCTATTAAAAATATAAGCATTACATAAAATATATAATGATATATTGCAAAAACATTAAATGGAATGTTTTTGGAGATGTTTTAAATTTATTCGGTTTAAATACATTAACTATGGTAAGAACATCTTATCGGCAATGCGCGTGCATTGCAGATTGTGATATAGGGCGATGACTTCCAGTTTACATAATAACAAAGAGGATCGGCTCGCGCGTTCTCCACAATCTCTCATGTCTTTATAAATAAAAGTTTGAAATCTAAGTCACACAGTTTAGAGTTCATATTTCAATGACTAATAAAGCGCTCAAATTAAAATGTCAATGCACTAGAACTTGTAGAATTCACTATAAATTATACAAAAAATGAAGATATAGATGACACTGACAAATATTTTTTGATCAATAGGTATTTTATGTCGTTACCTGGTCATTAAATAAATCAAATATGTTTTGAACTTGGTCCAATTATGGCTATTACAAGCATCTGCCAGGAACATTAGTTAGAAGTGACCGCTAAGAGATTAAACTAAGTATACATTACCTAATTCTAATGACTTATATCGAACTCTACAATTCATATTACCCAAGTCATATACCATAATGAATCGGTAATTTTGTACACAACTATCTTGGTCATGATTGATTAATATTAAGTATGTGAGTATTCTCAGTGACGATAAGTTGATTATATTGAAAATATTTGTACAAAGTTGGTTTTAAAGTAGAAAAGATATTGTTTCATAGATATCTGCAAAACAACCTATTATTTATTGATATATAAAGTAAACAATTAATAAATATTTTGTTACAGAAGCATCTGTTTGTAATTTGTTTTGATTATTATTGTTTTAAAATTGGATTTTAAACTCAACTTCGCCTACTTGTTTAAAATTTACCATCCAGTACTTAAGGTTTTCGTTAATTATAGAAATATAAATAGACTTTGTTTATTTAAATTGAATAGCTACTTTAGCCCGAAATGGTCTAATAGAAAACAAAAATACTTCAGTAAAATATTGAAAGGATTTAAATACATTTAAATTATATGGTATTTAAAATTTCATTGCTAATTGGGTACATTATCTATCACAGGCGAAGTGAACGTCCACGACGGAAGGTAAAATGTATGAAGCATATAAAGTTAAATCAGTGTGAAACGCAAAACTGTGTGCTTAGCAGAAATTCGATCAATAAGCGGTGTGAAAGATTTATGAATGAAAAAGTTGTAAAATTTTTAGTGTTTGACGGGTGACATATGGTCGTGCTGGAATTATTTGAAGACTATTGTCATCGTGGCTTGAAAGCTTTTTTTTGTCAAAGATGCAGAACTAAGAAAAAAAACAAGAATTGTCTTTTAATTGTCAGACGAATGTAATAATATACGTACATTGCACTGTGTCAAAGCATTGAGGACAAAATAAAATAAAAAGAATGAGGGAGATTTGCTTAAAATAACCATGTTTTCTAGTAAGACTAAATTATACTATATAAATTGTATAGAGATATAGTAAATTCATTTATAAATGTAGTATAACATTTATTTTCCCTGTAAATAAAAAAGTTTTATGTAATCACTTGGTTGTTTATGGCGTATGGTTAATTATTATTTGTTAAAGCAACAACCATGTCTTAAATATGAGTAATGAACAGAAACTTATCAAAATCATATTAACTAACAAAGTTATCGTCCTGAAAGTAATGACCGGTATAAATACGTTAGCAAACTCTTAAAAGGGAAAATACTTCAAAAGCTTCTAAGTGATTATTATTTTTTAATTTAATATATCTTGAAAGATTACTGTAACTGTTCAAAAAATTCGTATAATTAATCATTTAAATCAGCCAATACTATTTAAAAATAAAGTCCACCCACTTTTAGCAATACTTTCAGTGGAAGCCAGCCAATTAATTAATTATATATCACTTTTATGTCCTTTCGATAAGAGTTATAATTCCGTTCGATTTTAAAAGCTCATTATTTATTTAACTTCTTCACTTTATTATTATTTAAATTTGGCAATCTGATAAATTATCTTAAATTCAAAGACACTCTCATCTCGTCTGCCCGTGAATACGGTTTCTGTAAAGGCACCGAAACGTCGGGTTTGTGTAGATATAAAAGAATAATACTCGGAGAATGCGAAAAACTTGTTTTAATCTTATATTCAGTTAAAAAGTCTGGATGCTTTAATAAAAATATAATAACTATATTAAAAACTTTCTAACTATTGTTAAAAAATTTAAAATAATATAAATAAAATATTTTTTATAAATTTAAATTAAATGTTCCATTGTAAAATGTATTATTATAGGTAAATAGTTTCTGATTTGGTTCATCTAGATTCTAGTATGTTTCAAAACAGTACTTCGGTTCTCGAGACTATAATTTATAATCTTCTGAACATTCCAAATCTCGATATATTGTTAAATTTTCCCTTAATGACTTTGATATATTTATGCTTCAATAAATTTTGTATGTGTTCACCTTGAATATTATATTTTTAAACGAAACTTACTTTCAAATTAAAAATTATATTTAAGTGGCAATTTTATGAGGTATTTAATATGAGACTATTTTCAATTTAAATCTAAAACAACGTATGTAATTTAATATTCATTTGTGACCCCAAACAGGTTTTCTTGATTATCACCAAAGAAATGTCTTGGATTACTTTTATAAAAGGGAAGAAATTAGGCTGTGGATCGTTAAGTTAAGCCGAGATTGAGGCTCACTTTATTTTCGACGAACTCGGACCAGGAGATAAAAATTTAGGATTATTACATCCTCCGTATTGTGTAATTTGGGTCCATTTATAAACAAAATTTAGTGCCAAGTCATTAGTATCAAAAAGATCATTAAGGCTTGCGATTAAGAAGATAATAAAATTTTAAGATTAACGAAAAGGTTCAAAATTTTAATGGACACTGTTTTGATTATATAATATTTATAGTAATAGGATTACATGCATATATATAGTGAAAAAAATGTGTAATTATTGTTTTTAAATACACAAACAACAATAATTACCCAATTAACAGATCTTTCATTTAGTAAATCAGAAATTATTTTATATGTTTGAAGTTGGTAGCAAGTAAATTGTTTGTATTGCTAAAAAGTCATTTGTTTCTATGTAACAAGTACCTACGCTTCTAGAATAAGGGATGACGTTTGTATGTTGTGAAATTTTAAATAGAAATATACTGATACAGGAAGCATTAAGCTGTAGGTTCTGTTCTGAAAACCAAACGGAAATTATGCGGGGAAAACCCCGAGGAGAATTCGAATTAGTTTTGATCTGATGCCATCTTCTGTTTCCAGTTTCGTTGTCATGGTAATACCCTTGGTATATCTCCTTTCTAACAAAAAAATAATTAACAAAATTGGGTCATAGTTATCAGTAAACGTGAATAGAAATATATTGTAGTGTCGAACTCAAGCTTTTGAAGAGGGATCTTCAAAGTCGGTTAAAAATAAAATATTAAGAATTATAAAGATGAATTTTTTCAATAAGAATTTTGTTTCTTATTTTAAAATTTGAAATTATATGTAATCTATATCTATATTCTATATACATATATAAAAGAAAGTCGTGTTAGTTACTCCACTTATAACTCAAGAACGGCTGAACCGATTTAGCTGAAAATTGGCAGGGAGGTAGTTTAGAGCCAGGCAATTGCAATAGGATTTTTGTCCCGTTCGACAGCATTCCCGTGGGACTTGACATGAAACGTCAGTCACTATAAAACGTGGAATACGAAACACAATTGACAGTTATGCAATTGACGTATATTGGATGACAATTTGATATTTGTAAGAAATATACTATATAAAAATAAGTCCGCTTTTCCATCCTGACGCTATAATTTCAGAACGGTCAGGTCTCGGGCTCCGTGAGGTTTATAACAAAAAATTTCAACAGAAAAGCGAGAAAATCTTTTTTCACATATAGCGCCATCATACATAACATGTACTACAAATCAATATTTTAAGTAGATGGTGCCGGTGCATGATACATCGTTTGACAGCTACTCATTGTTCTTCATTGCGCAGTTAATTTTATGTGACAAACCGGTATAGTGTTTGTAGTTTAAACTCTTAAAACTATTTAGTATTTGTGGGATAAATTTAGAAAATCATTGTTTTTCACATGAACAGTTATACTTTGCGTGTTCACGAGTTGGGAATCCATCCGCTTTATTTGTGTTAACGTTAGACAAAAAAACAAAAACTGTGGTTTACAAAGGAGCACTTCAATGAAACGCATAATTTGTGGACACGTATAACGCTTCGATTCGATATCTTCTTTGGATTCACTTTCATTTACTTAGAGAAGTTCAACTAAATAATACTTCATTTTTGTAATCGAAATGAATTCATTACTGTTGTGAAAAGAAATAAAAATTTTCATTTTCAAATACAAAACAAAAAAAATTTCTTCATCTTTTAATAACCAAACGAAATGTTTGAATGAAACGAAAATGTTTGAATGAAATATTTTGAATGAAACGAAACGAAACGAACGAAATGTTAAAAACCTTCTGGTGGCGAAACGGAGTTAGCCGGGTTTACTAATTATTTATAAATTACGGCGAATCAATGACTATGCAATTATAACATGGAGTGCTTCTTTTTTTTTATCACAACGGAAATTTTTTAAATACAACTAGATCATTTCTAAAAACAACGATAAGTTATTCGTTTACCTGAGTTTAATGTTATAACTG